TAATAATAAGAGGTAGACTGGTTCAATTAAAATTAGGCATTGGTAAGATAACATTTTTCAAGGTGGGTGACATGTATGAAATAAACTTATTTGTAGATTTTTCCTATTTCAAAGTGCTACTATTGTGCACACAAAAGTACAAAGAGCACCAACATGAACTGGTCCCTCAGTTATTCTTCATTGGGACAAGACTTTGAACTCTGAATAGTGATGACAATCCAAAAGTGCTTACAGTGCCAATAAAGTTTGTCAAAAATTGATGTCTGTAATTTTGAAACAACTAAGTGAACAAATGACAAATGATGATCCATTATTCAGCAGTTACACTAATTGTACTTACCAGTTTGTTATTTACTTGACCCAGGAAATTACTGTCCCTGTTACGTCCATCAGCACAAAGTTGATCACAGCCTTAGCAACATTTTTTTGGTTTATTCTAAATAATTTTAAATTTAAAAAAAAATAGAATTATAGGGATTTTAGGGCATTTGTAAACTATATAGGGAAATATAGGAGGACTGAGAAAATATAGGAAATATAGGAAATATAGGGACGCTTGAATCCCTGCCATACCAATCCAGTGGTATAATGAGTGAGAGTGTTGCCTAGAACACTGCAGGGAAATCTGGAGTAGTCAGGAGCGCTGGAGAGAGAGTTTCTACGGCATCCGCCCTTCTACCAAGTCAGACAAGTCAAGTAAGTGCTACTGTCTGTCTCATGTGTAGAGAGGGGACACCAAATTGCGAAGTGTCCAAAATTTAAGTGAAGCTCAATCGAAGAACGATGGCAAAATGTTAGAGAGCATCGCCTGTGCTTTAACGGTTTTAAACCAGCAAACAGTTTTCACTTCGCCTCAGTTTGTCGCCGTCCCCGGTGTAGTGTTGAAGGGTGTGGTCAACGTCATCACATTATGCTTCATGGTGAAAATGGCAGGGGTCCGGAAATGCAGTTACCTACTACCATCAGTGGATTTGTTGCATCCGAGAATGCCGGAGTTCGACAGACGCTGTTGCAGACTGCAAAGGCCACGTTGGTTGGAGGTGGAGACCAGAGAGTGCCTGTTCGAGTCCTTCTTGACTCAGGAAGTCAAAGATCTTACATCACAAAGAAGGAGGCAGAATCGCTAGCTTTACAAGGACCCACTGAAGTCCTTAGTATGTCCATGTTGGGAGGAGAATCAAGTCAGACGAAGAGAATGAAGAGAGTAAGCTTCTTCCTCACCTCTGTTCAAGGAACTGATTTGAAATCAGTAGAGATGGAAGCCCTTACCATAGACAGGATTTGTATGCCGCTCGACCCAGTAGAGCTCAACCTGGAGAAATATCTTCATTTGAGGAACCTCATGCTTGCAGACCTGTATCCCCGCGGTTCAGTGGACATATATGTCTTGATAGAAGCAGACTTCTACTTCTCATTTGTAACTGGTAACTGTGTGAAAGGGGAAACGTTAAATTCTCCTACTGCAGTTGAGTCCACATTTGGATGGATTGTGTCAGGACCCATCGAGGGTCAGCTCTCCAAAAGCTCTATGTCAGTGCTGTCAACGGTATGCATAGACCCAGAGTAGTGTAGCACGCTTGTAGGGGCGGTAGTCAATCAGCGTGCAGGAAAAAATGACGTGGCACTCTCTCGACCAATCAGATGGCAGCATTTGGTGACGAATTAAAAAGTGGGCGAAGTTTGAAAAAAATTGATGACGTCACACATCCGGTGTTGTCCAAATAAGGCAAAACGGGAAGTGACGCGTAGTGTGGCGCTGTTGACATGTAGCGGCAAATGAGTTATGATGGTGTATGAGAAATGAATTTAATGGATGGGTCATGATTCAAAAGGACCAATGAGCAGCGTGCTAAAAATGGCGTGGTTGGGGTTTCGGCTGGTGTGCAAAGGCTGGTTGATTTTGTGGGTTTGGGCGCCAAGGTCAGGTTGATTTGGGGGTGCGCTCGCGCGTTAAAAATGGTGTGGTTAGGGTTCTGCGCGTGCGCGTTAAGGTCTCAATTGACACAATCAAATGTGAATAAATTTATTATAAAGTAACAAATGTGAAATAATGTTTTTTACATTTGAGAAACTTCGGATCATTGTCCGTTGATCAGGTGGGCTTCGGCGAGGCCTCGGGGTGGTTCGTCGATCCATTGAAAAAACTTGCAGGTGCGCTTTGGGCACTTGAGATAGAGTCGGCCTGGGTTATTGACCGAGTGGGAGGTGGCCAATACCAGGGACTTGTTGCACAGACAACGGAAACGGGCTGGGTCTATTTTCTTGTAGCAGGGGTGGGTCTGTTCGGCAACGC